AAGGAATTGGCAATTGATCCCATTAAACTCTTGTAGAAATCCATGATCTCTTTTTTGATAGCTGCAGGGTCAATCAACTTGTCTCCTAGTAAAGTTGTGATTTTTGTAATCTACTTCCTTTGAATTCTATCCTTCATTACTGCTATGAAGTATTTTGAGTTGGAATCTCCAAGCTGTATCCATCTTGCTCTAGCCTTCTGTTGTAGAACACTCTCCTCAATTAAGAACCACTTCTCAAGATTGAGTAGTGTTTCCTTCTCCCTATCTAACAAAGCATCAATACAAGTTATTGATATCTGCTCTTGTATGGTCCTCAGCTCTAGTCTAGCCTTTTCAATTCTTTGAGTGATGCCTTTGAATTCCCTAGAATTCAAAGCTTTCAGAGCAGGTTTCAAGTCTTTCAACTTTATCCATACTGATTTCAAAGTTCCATGAGTATTGTGAGAGTTCCATATGTTTGCCACTATTTGAGAAAAGTCTTCATGTGCTGCCCATATGTTGAAAAATCTGAAGGGTACTCTACCAGTCATGTTGAAGATGACAGTGTTAACAGCATATGAGCATGATCTGATATTTGAGGCAAACCATAGTTAGTTTCCACATGGACCCAGGACATCATCCATTCATAGTTACTAAAGACTCTATCCAGTCTACTGTTGCCCCTATCTACACCAGGTTATTTATTTGTCCATGTATAATAGTCACCCTTCCAAGGTAGTTCTGTCAATGTTCTTTGTTGAAAGCAAGTAGCAAATTCTTGAGTCTCTGAATAGCTTACTCGGTTACATGATAGTCTATCATTTGGATATAGTACTGCATTGAAATCTCCTGATATTAGCCATGGAACTGTTATACTTACTGATAGTAGTTGTAGGTTATCCCATAGAGCTCTTCTTTGTTCTATCCCATTATAACCATAAACTACAGTGAGTAAGCAATCTATATCTCCCCTTCTACTTTTCACCTGACAATGTATCATTTGAGCATCATCTATAAGATACATAGTATATATACATATAATTTATTTTTTTACCTACCTACACAATGTATTTTTTCCGCGAAGGGGTGTCATTTGACACCCTTCTTATAAGGTGGCTCCGCCACTGGATAAGGTAGCAAATAAGGTGATGAAATACAAAAAAAAAAATTGTATATATATACAAGATTCCAAAAATCTAAGCAAAAAATGACTTTTTCAATGAGTATGGTTAAAGTTCATTGAAAACATATAGATGAGTCAATATACAAATTTTTAGGAAGATCGGAGGTGATTTGGACTAATTTGGTATCAAAATTCGTGGTTAAAATCGAGTCAATTTTTTTTTCTGCGACACATGTATCATGCATGCATCACATACACACACACACACACACACACACACACACACATATATATGTGTGATGCATGCGTGATACAATATGATACATATGTGATACACAAATAATACACAGTGTGATACACATATCATTTTTTTTCATGTTTCATCTTCTACTTCGAAATTTTAATTCAAATCACTCAAAACTCCGCCAAATCATCCCAAAACTAAGATTCAAACTCTTTAAGATACCCAATCTATTCTAATAACACCTACTCAAAAGAATGCAAAAAATTAATTTTTTTTTGTAATAAATTACTTATAAATGGACATAGCAATTTAGGACCAACAACTACGTGAACGGCAAAGAACGAACGACGAGAAAATCAGCGCGATTGGCGGGGGAGGAGGTTGGCGTACAGTTTTTCAGTTTGATTCTGGGCCAAGGTTGTACGTAGCCCAACCAGTTTATCTTTCTTGGCCCAATAAAGATTTCTAGTTAGAGTAAAGGGAATTGATCCCCTAATATATGCAAGTGCAACTATATTCATCTTGACTGATTGAACTTTGCACAATTTACTACCACCAAAATCTTCAAGCTCAAATGAACTCTTTCACATTAATCGATTTTGGCAACTAGCAACTAGAGCTAAATTGTAATATACAGTAGGTAGGCCGCAAAGTAAAGAGAATATTATCAGATTCTCCAGTTGGAAAGTGAGCATGCTTGACTGAAAATATAAAGTACTAACAAAAGAGGGAAACCAGTGGAGCATGTATGAATAATATAATAATCTATATTATATTAGGACAACATTTTGATATACCGTACGTGACGGGTGGGCTCTCAGAAGTCTAATTAGCTCACTAACGTATGCCCTTTAATATATAACATGAAGTTTTTCAACTTTCTCCAAATGTTGTGAAATTGAATCTTCTCCAAAAAAGTTTGTTTACCCGAAAAATGGATAGAGTTGAATTTATACGTAGTTCCGAGAATATGTGGCGTAACTTAACACAAAATGTAAGGATAAATAGAAATGTAAATATAGATTGCAGAGAATGCGAAATAGATAAGGTTGTCAGGAACAATGAATCTTAGGATTCAACAAATAGAATCAATCTAAGAAATCTCAAAGAACGATTCTTTACTGTAGAAGAATATAGCGCTTTTATTACAATGTAAGCCTGAGAAAAATTTGTTCTATAGAAATGGTAACCAAGCCCTTTTATAGTGGAGGGATTTAGCTCTAAGCATAATAAAATAAACATTCAGTGGGAGACTCATGATAAGTCAGCTTTTTCACAATTTCTGCCAAGATTCTCTCTAGTGGGATTGCAACGGCTTTTGTCTGCAAGCTCGATCTTGCTTAGAACCCTAGATTTTGGTTTGAGCTTGATTTCGACTCGAGCTCTTGATCTTGGTTCGAGCCCGATCATGGCTCGAGCCCTCGAATTGATTCGAGGTCAATGTTGGTTTGTCTCTAAATTATCAGCATGATAGATCTACTCTGCCTCATGGTTCAATTTCGATTCGAGCTTGATAATGATATCGAACTCGACACGGATCGGCCTCCCCGGGTTCGAGGTTAGTTTGTTCCACCTTCGGGATCTTACTTCGATAGATCATCGTTCGAACTCGATCGGACGTGCTAAGGCCGAAATCTATTTTGACCGTATACAAAGTTATCTTAGCAAAGAGGGCAGCAAAGAAGGGATATAAAATCAATAGCCCTCATGTTGCTTGCTTTCCATCTATAAATAGCTACAGAGAATGAGTTTAAGCATACAAATAGCATCAATTGCATTCTGATCTATTATCACTCTCTTCATGGCTCAAATCAAACTGATCATTGCTAACCTTTTCCTCTCCATGATCTTATTCTCTCGCATTATTCGATCTATTGAGGGAAGATACTTGAAGTTCGAGAATGCAAATGATCCCTCTACACCCTATGTTCACACAGTAGCATTAACCAAAAGAGAAACTGAAAAGATGAAACAGTACAATGGAAACATGCAAGTTTATGCAACAGAGAAGGCACTAATTGACAATGTGGCCACACTTGCAACCCCCCTAGCACCAACACCACCAAGTCCGGTTCAGATAGTGTCTCAGCCCCCTCCCCCTGGTCATGCCGACGGCTTCACTCCTTCGGGACCTGGTCATAGCCCTGGGATTGGTCATTCTCTTAAAGGGAACTAAGAGCTGTAGCTACATGCATCAATTATTATGCTAGACATAGGTTTTCATGTCTATTTATAAAAATGTAATTCATATTATATCATGACATTAAATCTTGGCTTTCGAATTATATCAGCAGTTTACCTATTTATGTCTCATAACAGAAAAATGTTCAGAGGACTATATTTAACACACATTTAACTTTCTCAACTGTGCTCATATCACAGTTCCAAACTTGCATTAATAAACAGTCACTTGACGTTAAAATTGACCAAGATCCTGGCAAATTCTTGAAGGAAAAACAGGCTTTCTGTTTTGCGAATTAAGACTTTATTTACATTAACAGCATTTTAATACGGTTGCATGAAAGTATGATTAGTTACATCACATTATATCAACTTCTAATGAAATTCTTTACCTCGTAAAGTTAAGTTGTCCACCATTCTTCTTAATTAAGTTGGTCCAAATCAACTTATACACTAACAATATTCAAAATGAAAATATTGGTCTTAGTTCATAATCTTCAAAAATCCATGTTAATAACATGTGGTCTTAGTTACAATATGATGCCTTTGCAGTGACAAATTCTGTAACCTACTATGAGCAAAGAGAACAGTGAAATTACATGAAGTGCATAGAACTATATTTAATTGGTGATCGAAAATGTCTAATACTTATACAGAGATGAAGAAGTCTACCAAAATATTACTAACATTATGCGAACGTATTGTCTTTAGACTATAAAATCTCATTTCATTGCAAGAAATTAGTTCCTCTCCTCAACTTAATTCTATGACAAAATGCGAAATTAGGAAAAGAACCAACTGCAGGCTTAGGTTAATGCAGACATCTTTTAGTATTTCTTCACATAACGTTAGCACATTAACAGTATATTATGAACTGCTGATAGTCGAGAATATTTTTTTTTAGCCAGCACCCTCACAGTTACACTCTTACACTGATTCATGACACTGCCTCCATGTCATTCTTTTTCTTCCTTGACTTCTAATTGGACAGAGTCTGAATTCCCTTCCAAAATTTTCCTTCTGTTCCTTTTTTTCCCCTTCTTCTAACTGTATTTTTATCCCTTAATTAAGCCGTGGTCGCATAGCGATCAATCTGTTTCATTGATGATCTTTGTCAGTGTAAATACCATGATCAACATGTATCATTCTACATTAAGATGTATAACCTTGTCAGTGCAAATACCATGTCTCTAAGGTTAGAAGACTAAAGCAATTACCCGAAGATGTGGGAAAAGAATCTCTTGGTAATTCCAGCGGAGGCACAAAACACTAGGTGATTTCTTCCCATCCATCCAAGCCTTGGTGGATAGAGTTACCTGGTACCTGTTGCTGGTGGAAAGTGGCAGGTATCCCGTGGAATTAGTCGAGGTGCGCGCAAGCTGGCCCGGACACCACGGTTATCAGCAAAAAAAAAAAAA